CGGGAATGCCGGGAACATTCGGGTAGCGTGTGACAGTTTCATTGGCCGTTTGAAGGCCATAATTCGTGTCAAAGGTGACCAATTCGAACAAATCTAAACTTATTCTAAAATTTGATGCTATTTCCGACATGTTTTGCTTTCATTCAAAAAAATTTTTAAAAAATGTAAAAATTATGGCATTTGACTTTGTTGCAGTTTTTTATCCCACCCTGTATAACTGAAATACTCAGTTTAGCATATTTTCTTGAAATTTATACATGCCAATTTTTTTAGACACAAGTCCATTTTGCCACTCCATTCTTTCGTCTTTTAAGAAACTCAAAATTGTGACTCATTCCTTTTCTAAATAATTATTATTGTTAAAAAAAAAAATAATAATAATAATTATCTTTTATTCTCTAAACGTTATTTTAATATTGCATTATAAAATCAAAATATTTATATTTAATTCCTTTGAATTTTTGTACGATTTTCCTCCACTGTTCCACTGTATTGCCATAATTTTGTTCATATCCTTCATTTTTAATAAAGAACTGATGACGGAAATACCTTAATTTGTCATTTGCAATGAAACGACAACAGCATCCATAGACAAAACCACATGAAAAGAGATGCATCACCACCACCAATGCGGTAAACATGAAATTTCATGCACACACATACACACAAACATATGTATATGAGACAAATGTTTCTCAATTGACACCGATTCAGTCCAACAGCACAATGCTGATATTGGCTGTTTAAAAATAAAAAGGGCGCCTATGCCAAATTATGCTAAATTTCCTGCGAAAAAATATATAATACAACCAAATGATTTAGTAGTTTTCAAAAAATTATGGTACGCCTTTGCAAAAACACCATCAAATCTCAACACTAGATACTAACAAAGACCTCAATATCATATTTCGGCATTTCAGCTCTATATATTTGCTAAATACCGAATTTAGTAACATTTAATAATTTTCGTATAATTTAAATACTCATTTGCAGTCCTTCCACATCTCAATCACTCGACACCAAATTTAGTTCAATTGAGTACTTTTAGAACAAACCCACCTCCAAATTTGAATCCCAATTTGGGACTAGTTAGTACAATTATAGTACGATCATCCCAAACAAACTTCATCTCTCAACCAAAGACGCCAAAAGTAACATCCGTATCAAATTTCTCTATTCCAACTCTATAACTTCAACCAATACCAAATTTAGTACTATTAAAAATGTTAGTACAATTATCGCACACACCTCCATATCTCAACCTCAGATACCAACAGTAATCTCAATATCAAATTTGAGGATTCCAATTTTAGAAGTTACAATTAAGAAGACGTACAATTTAAGAACTTTCCATAACCTTTAAGTTCGAATTTCCAAAAAACCTTTGGCACACTTCATCAGTGGCTCTCTTTGCAAATTTCAGACGATTGAGCTAATCGGTTCACCACAATTCCAGCTTGTATCAAATTTAACACTTTTTAGTAAACATAATACGAATTTTCAAAACTTCCTACATGCCTCAATCCTACACCCCAACAAAAATCTTAATTTCAAGTTTCTGGATTCCAGCTCCTCTTGGTGTACCAAATTTAGTACATTTTATTGTATAATTTTATTGTATTATTTATAATTGTACCAAATTTAACCCTATTTAGTATACAAAAGTACGAATTTTCAAAGCTTCCTACATACCACAATACTACACTCCCACAGTAACACCAATTCCAATGTTCAGCATTCCAACTTATCGGTTCAGCCAAATCAAAACTGTACCAAATTTAGTACCATTTAATACACATAAGCACAAATTTGTATAACTACCTCCATCATGCAATCCAATAGAAATCTTATTTCCACATTTCAGGATTCCAGCTCTATCGGTTCTCCCAAAATTTAAATTGTACCAAAATTTAGTACATTTTAGTACACATAAGTACAAATTTACAAAGATACCTCTAAAACCCACTCCGACACTAATCTTATTTTCAAATTTTATGATACCAGCTCTTTTGGTTCACCAATCCTACACTCCGACACCTTACTTATTTCCAAATTTCAGGAATCCAGCCTTATCGGTTTATCCAAATCCGAATTGTTTCAATATTAGTAAATTTTAGTATACATAAGCACAAATTTTCATTACTATCTACATCATAAAATTCAATAGCAATATTATTTGCCAGTTTCAGGATTCCATCTTATCGGTGCACCCAAAAATTATATTGTACTAATTTTAGTACCATTTGGTGTAGATAAATACGAATTTTCAAATCCTCCTACATTCCCCAATCCTACACTCCAATAGTAATCTTATTTCCCAATTTCTGTATTCCAGATTTATCATTTCACCCAATTCGAAATTGTACCAAAATTAGTACCATTTAGTAGCTTTTGTGCACATAAGTACAAATTTCGAAACCTACCTCCACATCCCAATCCTACACTACGTCAGAAATATTAATTTCAAATTGCACAATTCCAGCTCCATCCGTTCCGCAAGATTCAAATTGTGACAAATTTAGTATCGCTTACACATTTTCGTATACATGAGTACAGACTGCAAAAACTGTCTTATTATATCGACCCTATTTTTCAACCTTGGTTCCCATTCCAAATGTCAAGTTTTTGGCTCTTACCGTCCACATGATATGACATAGTACCTAGTGTGGTACATTTTAGTACTTTTTTACACTTAAAGTAAGAATTTCTAACAATCCTTTGGTACATATATTCTGCACTCCATCGGCTATGTACGTTCCAAATTTAAGAATTCTAGCTCTATCGCTTCCCCAAATACAAGGGGTACCATATTTAGTACCTTTTATAGAGTTAGCGTTCTGGTACGAATTTACAACAACGCAGCCTTATCTCACCCCTTCGGACCAAGAGTGACCCTCACCAAAAATCTTAAGGTTCTAGTTTCAGCCGTTTCGTCTGGCCGGTGATGAATTTTAAGTCAGACAATCAGTCACTCAATTACTTTACTTATTAAGGTTGTAAGATTTCGAAGATTTTCCAAAAGAATTTTAGTTTTATGTAATTCTTTGGCCCTTCTTCTATTGAGCTTACGATCTCGTCACTTGGGTAAAAAAAGTTTTTGTCATAGGTGTTATTTTTAAAAAAAACTTCTGCGGAGAATATCCCAGACAAAAAAAAAACAAGTTAAGAAGAATACCCTCTTGAAACGAATTTGGAAATTTTCAAAAAATAAAATCCTTAAAAAATTCTGTTAAAATTTTAAAAATACCGAATATAGCCGTTATAATGGGGTCTATATGACGTGGACCAACATAGGCATTTTTTGAGGTTTGCCTTGTTAAGGCGAAGATCATATGTTTTATGATTTATGTGTTTGTTTTCTCTTTCGAGACAAGCTTAATGATCTGAAATTTCCAGTGGAAAGGAAAGCCAGATAGACACTATCACACACTCACCACTATGCGACGCGTTTCGCCGTTGGTTAAGCGGCTCATAAGGCATATTTGGTGTGGATGATGGCTCTGGAAAGTAGTATATATTCCGAACTTATTGCAAATTAGCATATGCGAATTGTACACTAGAAACTCTCCAGGTTCGACTCAAGTTCTATTTTTTGTCATAAGCCACTACCATATTCAAATTCGAAACTTGAAATAAACGGTGAATAATGTAGCTAAAATCATCAAAATACCGAATATCGGGAGGTACCGTTATATTGGAGCTGTGCGAAGACTTGGACCAGAATAGACAATTGTCTCTCATAGGCTGAAGCATCCATCAAATACGCCATCTCAACGAAGAGCTGGTCCTGCATAGAGAATTTTCTGTCACAGACTTTAGTTCCCATTACGAACTCTAAATACGTAATTTGAAACAATTCTGATGAATAATGACGCTAAAATCATCAAAATACCGAATATCGGGGGGTACCGTTATATGGGGGCTATACGATGACGTGGACCTGCATAGACAATTTTCGGTCATAGGCTGTAGTATCCATTACGAACTTCAAATACCAAATTTGAAACAATTCCGGTTAATAGTATCGCTAAAATCATCATCGTTAATTTGAAGTTCGTCATGGATACTACAGCCTATGACAGGAAATTGTCTGTGCAGGTCCACGTTTTGGTATGACCCCATATAATGATACCTCGCTATATCCGGTATTTTGATGATTTTAGACACGTTATCGACTGATGTTTTTCAAGTTTCGCTTTTGGATATTATGAAAAAAAGTTGGTCCACTTCGTCGTACTTTTAACGGTTTTTATTTTTTGAAAATTGCCAAATTCGTTCCAAATGGTGGAGGGTATTCAAGGTTCGGCCTGGCCAAACTTAGAGCTTTTTTTTTACTTGTTATTATTAATATGAATTCTTAGCCCTCTATATCGTAGTCTGCTCTTCAAACACAATGTTGATGCGAATAACAACAACTACAAAAACCACCCGAACATGAAAAAACAAATGCATTTCAATTTAAAAACGTCCACTTATGACGCTAATCATTATTAAAATATTTAACAAAATCTACGACACCTCATCTTTATGGCTTGTTGTTCAGAGATCACTCTGATGTATGGGACCGCTTGCAAGTACACAATTGTCTGTCCCGTCCACGTACATACATGTATGGTGGGCCCCTTTTCGGACAACCTGCACCGTCATGGCGAAACTATGCATTATTTCACCCTGAGTTCATTTCATTTTGAAAAAAAAAAAAAAATGACCAAAAAATAACTAAAATAAATAATTAAAATAATTTGTAGAACTGAGTAGCGGCTGGCGCACAGCCCGGCACACACTTTCACAGACCGACAGACAGATAATGATAATTATGATATTTATATTTGGCATATTCGTTACATACTTTCATGCCGGCTAGAAAAATAGCCTCAAAAAAATGACAGCTGTCTAGAAATGTCAATTAGGATGTCTGAATATGGTGTAATGTCCGAACACATTCTAATTTGTCTTTCTTTTTTCCTGTTGGGCGCTGTTGCAACAAAATCAAAACTGGGTGTGTGTGTGTGTGCAACATGTTTTAATATTTAGTTGTGGTTGTTTGTTTTATTTTATTTCATTCCTTAAATACATCATAAGTTCATTTCATTCATTTCGAATCACAACAATTTGTAATCACTTAGTTGCCTAGCTACTTAAAAACAATAACAAAAACAAAAAGAAAAAAAAAACAAAAGCAATACTATTTAATAAACAGCACTAAATATGCCTTGTGGACTAGCTTCCCAGCGACTTCTTTCTTCTCCTGCTTCGTTGTGGATGAATTTCTTCTCAAAGCCTTTCTTCGGTTATCAATTTCTTGAGGGTGCATTCTCCGGCTCCCAATTTTTCCAAAAGCTCTAACAACTCGGCTCTATAACGATCTTTACATTTCAATTGTTCTTCGGTAAATACCTCCGTTGTGGCCCGTGACATCCTCCAGATCACATTAAGTTTAGCCTCGACCAGAACATAATTGGATGGTGGGCAAAAGCGGGGACACATATCATTGATGAAGGTTATCATATCACTAATGCTACAGGCATTGATCCGATTGTTGATGGTATTCAAGGCAAAGTCCTGATATCGAGCCATTTTCGAATGGGGAAATACTGATTCACAGGTAAGGCAACGCCAATCCGGTTGCAGGGTCTTGGTTTGTACCGGTATCATAATACCCTTACAGCCTTGCTGGCGGCAGAAGAGAGCCGAGAGATATGTACCATTTTCCTGGAAGAAGAAGAAATAGAGATGAGGAGAAGTTATGAAGGGGAAAAGTCGTAATATATATGTAAATATTTGTATATAATTAAATTACCCTGAGCAACATAAAAAATCAGTAAAGAAAGATAAAAAATCGGGCGGGGCCGAATATATGATACCTTACACCACTATGCATACTTTGTATAGCTACCCGCAAGAAATAAACGTTTAAATTGAGATTTTTTGTAAATTCGCGTAGACGAAATGGCTGAAGCTAACATTTTTAAATTTTGAGTGAGGATCCCACTTGGTCCGAAGGGGTCAGATAATGCTGAATTTTTGAAAATTCGTGCTATAACGTTACGAAAAGTATTAAAAGGTACTAAATTACCTTATTCCTAAGTATCCTTACTCCTCTGTACTTGAGGAAGCAGTAGAGCTACACCTCTTAAGTTTGAAATGAGGGTCACTGATAGAGTGTATGATAGATGTAACAAAGGGTTTTTGGAAATTCGCACTATACCTCTACGAAAAGAACTAAAATTAACTATATTTGGTACCATTTCGTTTCATGTGAACGGTTAGAGCTAAAAACTTTACATTTGGAATGGGAATCTAGGTTGAGGCGTATAGTAGATGTAAGGAGGTACTAAATTTAGTACGATTTGAATTTGGATAAACAGATATATATTACAATTTCTAAATTTTTGGTGAAAATTCGTACTAGAACAGTCCGAAAAGTATTAAAATTTACTAAATATGGTACCCTTTGTATTTGAGGAAGCAGTAAACCTAGGACCTTTAAATTTGTAACTAGAGTCACAGAATAGATGTACTAAAGGGTTTTTCGAAATTCGCACTATAAGTGTACGAAAATTACTAAAATATACTACATTTGGTACCATTTCGTTTCATGCGAACGGTTAGAGCTAAAAATTGGAATGGGAATCAAGGTTGAGGAGTAGAGTCGATGTAGGGAGGTAGTTTTGGAACTATGTACTCATGTATACGAAAAGTACTAAAAGGTACTAAATATAGTACAATATGAATTTGGAGGAAAGGGGTGGAGCTGAGATCCTGAAATTTAAAGGTCACTGAGAGAGTGTATAATAGGGTTTTTTGGAAATTCGCACTCTAAGTGTACGAAAAGTACTAAAATGTACTACATTTGGAGAGATTAAAACATTAAATTTACAGTGCGAATCAAGGTTGAGGAGTAGAGTCGATGTAAGGAGGCAGTTTTGTAAGTTTGTACTCATGTATACGAAAAGTGCTAAACGGTACAAAATTTAGTACTGTTTGAATTTGGAGGAACGAATATAGCTGGAATTCTGAAATTTGAAATCAACATAACTGGTGGAGTATAGGATTAGAAAATAGAGGACGTTTTCAAAATTTGTACTTATGTACACGAAAAGTACTAAATTTGGTAAAATTTCGATTTGGTTGAAGCGATTGAGCTAGAATTCTGAAATTTAGAAATAAAATTGCTATTGCATTATAGGACTAGGGAAAGTAGGTAGATTTCGGAATTCTTACTAATTGGTACTAAATTTAGTACAATTTAAATGTTGAGAGAATCGATCGAGTTGGAATTCAGAAATTTGGAAAAAGATTACTGTCGGAGTGTAGGTTGGGGATATGAAGGTGGTTTTAGAAAATGTGTACTAAATGGTACTAAATTTCGTACAATTTGTATTTAGGCGAACCGTTAGGGGTGGAATCATAAAATTCGAAAAATTCGAAATAAAATGATTTAGGAAATTTTAAAAATTTGTATTTGAGTGTACGAAAGGGTACTAAATTTAGTACAATATGTATCCTGAAATTTTGAATTAAGATTAGTGTTGGAGTGCAGGATTGCGGTATGTAGAAAGTTTTGGAAAATCGTACACATACGAATACTAAATGGTACTAAATTTTGTAAAATTTGTACCAAGAGGAGTGGAATCCTGAAATTTGGAATTGTGATTACTGTGGGAGTGTAGAACCGGAATATAGAGGTAGCTTAGGGAATTTGTACTTATGGGTACTAAATGCTACTAAATTTGGTACAATTTGTATTCCGGCTAACCAAATAAGAATGAAATGCTGAACTTTGAATTGGGATTACTGTGGAAGTGTAAGATTGGGCTTGTAGGAAGTTTTAGACATTCGTACTTATGTGTACTAAATGATACTTAATATGCTACAATTTATATTTTGTGTGATCAAGTAGAATTTGAGTCCTGAAATTAAGAAATGCACTCATAGAGCTAAAAGTGTGAAATTTAAAAACAAGTAGAAAAGACCCTCCACCATTTGGAACGAATTTGGAAATTTTCAAAAAAAAAATAAAATCAGTTAAAAATTCTGTTAAAATCTTAACCATTACTATATTCAAATACGAATCTCATAGGAAGGTCCCGTTATGTCGAGGATATACGAAGACCTGCACCTGCATGGACAATTTTTTGTCGCAGGCTGTAGTACCTGTTAGGAACTTCAAATACGAAATTTCAAAAAATGTCGGTGAATATTGCACCTAAAATCGTCAAAATACAGAATATATGGAGGTACTGATATATGTAGCCTATGCGAAGACCTGAAGCTGTATAGATAATTTTCTGTCATAGACTTTAGTTCCCATTACGAACTCTAGATACTAAATTTGAAACAACACCGATGAATAATGCCCCTAAAATTGTCAAAATACCGAATGCAGGGAGGTACCGTTATATGGGGTATATACGATATCGTATTTGGTCCTTTCATCCTCAAAAAGCAACTGCAAAATCAAGAAAAGTGTCTGTTTTTGGTTCATGTCATTTCCAAAAAGAAAATTGCGATCATCTCCCCCCAACAATAAGCCTCTATTCTGACCTTTAGCTCACCTCCATGCAAAATTTTATGAGGATCGGTCACAATTTTATGAGGATCGGTCACAAATTGATACGGACAGTTCTTAATAGACTTCAACTGCCGAAATTTAGGCCATTTCATATAAATTAAAATTTGATACACAAATTTTAGCTTGTGTCGCTTTTTTCTCATCAATATTTTGATTTTCCCAGCGTCTTAACATGCGTATACATTTGGTCCAATTTCAATGATTTTCTTATTAAATCATGTTGTTATGTTTCAAATATGACGTTTCGGCTGCCAAACAAGTATGTATGTATTCGTGCTTCCACAAATACGTTCTATATATACACATTTGTTTATATCAACGTACCTACTATTGTCATTTGCAGACGTCATAAATTTAATATTTTTTTTTCATCCAAAAAAAAAAATATATAAATATACTCAAAATATAGTCAATTTCTATGTCTGAATAACAAAAAAATTTCGGAGACCACATATTTAATTATAAATCACTTTAAATATTTTGAATTCTTTTTAGAATAACAAAAGAACCGAACCAACAAAAGTTTGAAAGAAATATCCACTTCGTATGCCAATGGTGATCAATTATTCAGTTTGAAACACGACAAACAGAACATTCGGGTCAATTATTGTTGTTGTTCATGGTCGAGGTGAATAAGCAATTTTGAAAACCTTGAATTATTTCATTCAAACAAAAACACAAACGTCGGTATGCTTCAATTAAAAAGCAAACATCGCTCATTCAAAATAATATCAAATTTCAATTCTTATGAAAGCATACAAAGGTCATTTTTTCTATGAATTAAATTTTTAGAAAAAATGCTGGAATTTATTCAAAAACTTAGAGAATATATATAATTTGATATTCCTGAGGCCAAGTAAACATCGCCTAAAATATTTTGAAAATAGCCCAACTTTTGATGTTGTTATGAAATGTAATTAGATATTTGATGACCATACAAAGCAGTAGGTTTCCGCCCTGCTCTAACTTACGCAATACATGGTGAGAAGAAAAACACTGCACCCAACTTCAGACTGTCATGTCATGTCTAAACTACTCGTCCGACAGCTGTTAAATTATTTCAGTGACAGGTCATTATATTGTTTACAAGCGTACAAAAGCATTTTGGTGAGAATTTTCCAAAAAATACAAGTTATTCGTAATGGAATTCCTGCGTGATAGTGTGATTTCTTTATATTTGGCTGGGAAACCACAAGTGGCCATAAATGTGAATAAATCTTTTGTGTCTCGTACCTCTCCACTCGTTACAGTGATACTGGTAGCGTAGTAGAAACATCAGCAGAAATGGTAAAGAAGCAACTTGATTGAAACCCGCGTCGCAATGGCCGAAAATGGCTTGTGAGCTGAACATATCGCAACATTCCATTCGGCAAATATTGAAAAATGAGCTCGGGGTAAAGCCATTGAAATTCCAAAAAGTGCAATAACTTACACCGCTACAAAAAACAAGTAAAAAAACATTAAGTTCGGCCGGGCCAAACTTTTAATACCCTCCACCTTAGGGTAAAAGAAACATTAGAACCCATTATAACCCACATATACCAATGCTTAGAAATATTCATGGGAACATGTGTCAAAAATCATCGAAATACCGAATATCGGGAAATGCGGCTATATGGGGCTATACCAAATCTTGGACGTATGCATGCAATGTCTCGCAAAAGGAGCTAGAAACCATTATGACCTATAACTACCAATTTCCAGAAAAATGCGTGAAAAAATGTGTCAAAAATCATCAAAATACCAAAAATCATCAAAAAAATATCGGGACGTACCGTTATATGGGGACTATACCAAACGTAGACCTATACATACAATGTTTCGCCACACGAACAAGGACCCATTATGACCCACAAATACCAATTTTTAGACAAATCAGTGAATGCCAAAAACCATCAAAATACCGAATATCGGGAGGTACCGATATATGGGGGCTATAGCAAATCGTGGACCCATACATACAATGTTTCGCCACACGAATTATTATCCGGATACCAATCCGTTGGACAATTGTGTCTGGAGTATTTTGGAAAGCAAGGTTGGCACTAAAAAATACCAAAGTGTCGATCACCTCAATCAAGCGCTTCGCCAGGAATGGGCCAAAATACCGCAGAGCAGCATTTGGGCAGCGTGTGAC